GTCCACAGTGGGGATTTGTACTTGCTGGGTCAGTGTCAAATGAAATGAGAAGAGAAGAGGCCACGAAATTTTCGTTTTAAAGGATAAGCATTGTTGTGCGTTGATTCTGTTAGTTATGGGCCTCTGACAATAACCTTGTCCCAGTGCCACTTGAGTTCATCCACTCGTCTCGATTTTATCGCGCAGAAGGCGAAACAAAATGTATATCTAAAATTTCTATGCAATTATGCATTTTTTACTGGCGAGGTTTTTACATGTTATTCTCAGAAGCAATTCCCTTGAATGAAATGTACACTGAAAATAAAGTATAATAATGCCATGAAAAATGTTACACAAGAATTATGCAAATTAAATTACCGAACTTCCTTTTTATAATCTTCCATATAAAGTTAAAATTCTTGAAATCAAATATTTAAATACTCTGATATTTATTAATATCAAATTGTTTACTAATTATTAATATTATAAAATAATAATCGAGATAATCTGTCCTCACGTGCAGTTAGTGTTTTTTGATTCCAAATTGTTTTATTTTTCGAACTGTTATGTGAAAAGTTTGAAATTTAATTTGTAAATAATAAGATATAAGTGAAGTATAAGAAAATTTAACCCAAATTTCAAAAACTCAATAAAGAGATAGAATGTGTCTAGGTATGAGACGGGTTTTGTTTTTGACCCATAAATTGTAAATGGGTAAACGAAATTGTAAATAAAATACACCGTTCGAAAAGTAACTTAAATACGCAACTTTTTTTCAAAGAAAGTATAGTGTTCAGGTGAACTAAAAAAAAAGTTAGGATCAATTTTCCGAGCACATCGCTTTTGTCAACAAAAAAAATGTGTCCAGTTGTGAGACACTTATTAAAAATTGCTAAAATTTAAAAAGTTTGACATAAAACGTTATTTTTAGTAGAAATAATTATAAATATATTAATAATATATATTATTATATACTAAATAATGTTATTCAAAAATTCTAAAAAAAATAATTGAATTTTGTAAGAATTGCAGCTCAAATTTTTAGAAATAAATTAAATGTCGAAAGGTTATTTATTGAAATTATTATAAATTTTAATTCCTATGGAAAAATAAATAAGTTTTTTAATTTTTGTTTATCAAAAAGTATTTAATTTTTAAATAATTTAGAAATTGCGAAAAAATTTGTTTTTTGAAAAAATGTAATTTTAACTTTTTAAGAATAATTGTATTTCCGAAAATAATTTTTAAAAAATATAAAAATTTTAATAGTTAAATGAATTTTATTTATTTACTTTTAAAAATTATTTTCAAATATTAATCGTATTTTTAAAGAATGCTAATAAAAAAAAGGAACATGTGCGTGTTTTGAAAATTCTTTGAAACATTTTTATTGTTACTTTTCTCATCGATTTTTCATGTTTATCGAGAATTTAAGTGGTAATAGTAGGGTAGAGTGGGGTAAAAAAGCCACATTTTTACTTTTGATGCTGTAAAATCTGTATTTAAAATTTTTTTCTCAAATTTCCAATTGTTATTGAAAGTTTAGTTATTAAGCTTGAAAATTCTTGACGGAAATATTTTTTATCTCATGAAAGGACTAAGTTATAAGAGTTTTACGAAAGCACTGCAAGTGGCTTTTTTGCACCACCTGGTGGGGTGAAAAAGCCACCCTACGATTTTAGCAAAACACGTTATCAATTTAGGTATTTTTATATTTTTCCTTTATTTATATGACAAATAGTCTTATTTGAAAAATATTTTAATAATTATGAAAGAGTTTTTAGCAAGGAAAATTGAAAATTATATTAAGTTTACCTGTTTTCGATTTGCACTGCCAATTTTTCGTACCTTTTTTAGAAGTTCTCTTTAAGTTTTACCACAGATAACATATTTCGTTGCAACCGTTTATTCATTGTTTATTTTTTAAATGCACTTTGAACTACTTTTTCGTCGTGTTTAATTTATTTTATTAAATAAACACGAGAAATTTTGTAAAATAAGAAGGTTAGTTTAAATAGAAAACAAGTGAATTTCACAAAATATTCAATGGATTTTTTGCCCTGGCTTTTTTACACCCAAGACCAGTTATTAAAAAAAGCAAAAATAAATTGTCAATTCAGTTCAATTTCTAAAAATTAACATTGTATACGTTTTCGGTATACTTTTCTCCTTATGTACAAACATTTACTTTTACTATTCGTTCACTTAATCAGATTGTAATATGTTTGAAAAGTTCACCAAAATGTTTTCAAAAAAGCAACAAAAAATTAAAATTACAATAAAAACAATATTAATCTAGGTACAACATTCAAATTAGATTCAAAAGTTGCGTATTACCTAATAGTATTTATATTCTAAACAGCTGATAAATCGGCTTAATAGTTTTTAAATAAAACTCAAATGGCTTTTTTACACCATGGCTTTTTTACCCCACTCTACCCTAATAATTGTTTCAAGAAATTATTGTTTTTTCCAAAATAGCTATGAATTTGCAATTCTTTATGAATTTAACAACTTCCCTAAGATGATTATTATCACGAGTAAAAATTAATTATTAAAAAGCAAAAATATCAATTATATAAACAAATTATTATTGTGTACTTTATAGTTGTTTTGCAATTGTATCCTCAAACTCGTAGCTTTTTTTAATTTTTACGATTTCCAATGCTACAATTAAATAAACAAGTAAATAAATTAAGTTCTTAACAGTTAATTAAAATATTTTTAGTGTTTTCTCAAATTTCAATTAATTAAATGTTAAATAATGAGTTACTATTTTCCTAAAAATTATTATTAATATTTATTTAAAATAAATTATTGTTCTAATTAATTTTTTTTAATATTCAAAAATTTTTTTAAATTCTCCTCAAAATTTCAATTATCTTTATAAATAATTATAAATAATAAAACTCTTCTTCGAAATTCAATTATTTAAAAAAAATTTAACAAAGTTCTCTTCAAGAATTTAATTATTTTCATAAATATAATAAAATTCTTTACCGAAATTCAATTATTTTTATAAACTAGAATAAAATTCGTTGCAAGAATTCAATTATTTTCAAAAGTAATAAAATTTTTCGCAAAAATTCAATTTTGTTCAAAAATTTAAAAAAAAATTCTTGTCAAAATTACAAGTATTTTTATAGATAATAAAATTCTTCTCCGAAATTCAATTATTTTAGAAAAATTTTAATAAAATTCTTGGGAAAATTTTAGTTATTTTCAAAAATAATAAAACTCATCTCAGGATTTTAATTATTTTTGATACAATATTTTAATCAAATTCCTCGAAAAAAGTAATTATTCTTAAAAATGTTATTAAAATTTCTTCAAAAGAATTGAATTATTTAAAAATTTGTTGATAAAATTCTTTATGAGAATTCAATTTTAACAAATATTCAATTAGTCAATAAATTATTTATTTTTTAATTTAAATAACTGAATTCTTCTAGAATTTTCTAATAAAAATTGATTTAAAAATGAATTACCGAATAATCGATTTATTATTTATGAAAATAATTGAATTCTTTCAATGAATTTTATTACATTTTTTTTAAATAGTTGAATTTTTTTGAGAAATTTTTACATACTTGTAAAAATAATTGAATTCTTGCGAAGAATTTTATTAGAAGTTTTGTAAATAATTAACTTTTTTTTGAAAAATTTTATGGTAATTTAAATTATTACAAAACATGAAGAAGAAGATTGACATCGCCTTCTTCATGTTTTGTAATAATATTCTTATAAGTTATTGAATTTTAAAAAGGTTTGAATTTGAATTTTTTGAAGAATTTTAATTCCTACGGAAAAATAATATTTTAATTATTTTTATTTTATTAATAAATAATATTTTAGATGTTACTTTGTAATAGTAATTGATTCTCTTTTTGTATTTTTAGGCCAAAAATTATAAACATAACCTACAATTTTTTGCTTCCTACCTTTTTTTGAGAGCTCACTTGAAATTTGTTACTCGGGGATTCGTATTATTTTAGTATTATTAGTATTATTATTATTAACATTATTAATATTATAATTAATATTATTATTCGTATTCGTCAGTTTTCAAAAATTCAAAATGGCGGATCTAATATGGCGACGATAATAATTTTTAATTTGATCGGATTCTGTATTAAAAGTCATAGCTCTGTTTTTGGGAAAAAGTAACTAACAAAAATAATTTGTTAAAACAATTTATCTTACACATTTCTAGAAAGAAATATTTTATGATTCTCTAATCTATCCCAAGTTTTCTTGAATGTAATTTTCATAAAAAAAACTGTTAAATGCAAAAATAGCAAATTTTGTTATTTTCATCAAAAGTTATAGTTGTCAACTCCTATCATTTTAGGCATTGTTTGATTGCTTTAAGCAAAAGCTTAATCGTCTGTGCATATTATATTATACTCGAAATGTGTTCCTATAATTATGTCTGAAAATATGTGACACGCTTTGCAAAATGTAATTTCAATGTCAACAGTATAGTCACCTATCTTCTTTTATAGAATTCTATTTAACCGTGACAAGCATTCAATGCTAATATGATTATGTAATATCCCGTGTGAAAACTATCTTATGAAACTTATAGATTCGTTAAAGTTTTCCTTTACATTTTATTTTATTAACAAACCACAAATTATACAATCAATTGTTCTCATGAGAAATTACGAATTGGTCCTTGTATCAATTTCTGAAATAATAAAAGAAAAATGGTTATAAAAGTAAAGAATTTTAATCATAACAATAATGACAAAATGTAATTTGTTACATAAATTAATTGTTACTTGTAATTTCATTTAATTGATTTTTAATGAACCTGTAATTATTATTTTTAAAAGTGTTAATTACAAATAAAAGTGTTTTACTAAAGACAATAAAATAAAACTTGATTTTTTATTCAAAAATTTACTTTTTAGTCAACTATTATTTATTTATATTAGTTTCGATTTTTTAATTTTTGTGATATTATAGAATTTTGTTTTTTCTTTGATAATAATTTGAACAATATTTTCTAATTTCAGGTGAGAGTGCCTTTAAAAGCAAAATTCACTGCTAAACCTAAGGATGTAGTTGTTAATATTTCCAAAAAACATCTTAAATGCGGCTTGAAAGGACAAACGTCAATTATTGATGGAGATCTACCACATGAGGTGAAACTTGAAGAATCCACTTGGGTGATAGAGGACGGAAAAACATTGTTAATTAATTTGGAAAAAGTAAGTTCAAACTTTATAATTTTTGATAAAATGTTAATTAGACATAGAAAAAAGTTAAAATAAGCAATAAAGAATATTGTTTAATTTTTATTAAATTAAGGACACGTTCAGGTTGTAAAATATAAAGAAATATTTTACCACTGGGACATGTCCCTAAAAAATTCTGTACAGTTTGTTGTTAATTTAATTTTTAAAATTAGGAATAGTAAAATAAGAACTAAATAAGAAAAATAGGGATGAATAAAATAATAATATTTCTTCAACGTTTACTCCGAAAGGAGTATTTTTCATGTTAAAAAAAGGTGTCGAGAGTAGTACTTTTAGACTTCGCACTCATCTACTAAAACCTATTATTTACTAATTTTTCTAATGTTATTTTTTGAAAATAACATTTTCTAAAACAATTCGAAAAAATCAATTATTTAACAAAATTTTTATACAATTCTTCATAATACATCAATTATTTTCATAAATAATAAAATTTTCACAGGAACTTATTTAATTTAAAAATTTTTTTTTTAAATTTCCAAAAAATCAATTGAGGACTCGGATCGAAGAACCGACGCTTGTAAACGCACAGAACATTGCGAAGCGTCGGTTTTTCGATCCGAGCCCTCAATTATTTAACAAAATTTTTATACAATTCACAATAATTCAATTACTTTCACTAATAATAACATTTTTCATGGAAATTCAATTTTTTAAACAAATTTTTGATAAAATTCTAAGCAACAATTCAATTATTTTCATAAATAATAAAACTCATCGAAGAAATTGAATTACTTTTTAATACCTATTTTAAATTAATTAATCGAAAATTTCAATTTTTTTCACAAATAAAGTTTTTCACAAGAATTCAGTTTTTAAAAATAAAATTTTCATAATGTTTATTATATTTCGAAAAAATTGATTATATAAAACGAATGTTTTTAAAATTCCTATAAAGAACTCAATTATTTTCAAAAATAACAAAATTTTGCACAGAAGTTCAATTCTTTTTAAACGTTTTAATAAAATATTTTGCAATGATTTAATTATTTTCATAAATAATAAAATTCTTCTCATTATTTCAATTATTTATGAAAATTTTAATAAAATTCTTAGCTACTATTCAATCATTTACACAAATAATTCTTCGAAAGAATTCAACTACATATGTCGATAAATAAAAAAATTTTTCCCAAAAATTCAATTATTTTGAGGCATTTTAATAAAATTATTTGCAAAATTCAATTATTTTCATAAACAACAATATTCATAACAAGAATTCAATTATTTTTAAAATCAATAACTTTCTTCTTGCATTTTCAATCCTATTTCCAAAAATAACAAAATTTTTCACAAAAATTCCATTTTTTTTAAACATTTTAATAAAATACTTTGCAATGATTTAATTATTTTCTTACATAATAAAATTCTTCTCATGATTTCAATTAATTTTGAAAATTTTAATAAAAATTTTTTACAACTATTCAATTATTTTCAAATATTTTAATAAATTTGTTCGAAAGAAATTAATTTTTTTAAATACAACTTTAATTACATTTTTTTAAAACGATTTAATTATTCTTTTAGATTTTAAAATAAATTCTTCCCAAGAATTTAATTATTTACATAAATAATTCTTCGAAAGAATTCAATTATTTACATAAATAACAAAATTATTCCCAAAAATTTAATTATTTTGAGGAATCTTAATAAAATTTTTTGCAAAATTCAATTATTTTCATAAATAATAAAACTCATCGAAGAAATTGTATTACTTTTTAATACTATTTTAAATTAATTAATTTGAAAATTTCCATTTTTTCACAAATAAAGTTTTTCACAAGAATTCAGTTTTTAAAAATAAAATTTTCATGTTTATTATATTTCGAAAAAATTGATTATTTAAAACGAATGTTTTTAAAATTCCTATAAAGAATTAAATTATTTTTAAAAATAACAAAATTTTGCACAAAAATTCAATTCTTTTTAAACATTGTTTTAATAAAATATTTTGCAATGATTTAATTATTTTCATAAATAACAAAATTCTTCTCATGATTTCAATTATTTTTGAAAATTTTAATAAAATTCTTAACAAACTTTTCAATTATTTACATAAATAATTCTTCGAAAGAATTCAATTATGTCGATAAATAAAAAAATTATTCGCAAAAATTCAATTATTTTGAGGCATTTTAATAAAATTCTTTGCAAAATTCAATTGTTTTTATAATCAACAATATTCATAACAAGAATTCAATTATTTTTAAAAGCAATAAAATTCTTCTTGGAATTTCAATCCTATTTCCAAAAATAACAAAAATTTTCACAAAAATTCAATTCTTTTTAAACATTTTAATAAAATACTTTGCAATGATTTAATTATTTTCATACGTAATAAAATTCTTCTCATGATTTCAATTAATTTTGAAAATTTTAATAAAATTTTTTACAACTATTCAATTATTTTCATAAATATTAGAATTTTTCATATGAATTTTCAATTATTTTCAAATATTTTAATAAAATTGTTTGAAAGAAATCAATTTTTTTAAATACCTACAATTTTAATTAAAACTTTTTTAAAACGATTTAATTATTTTTTTAGATTTTAATAAAATTCTTCCCAAGAATTCAATTATTTACATAAATAACAAAATATTATTCCCGAAAATTTAATTATTTTGAGGAATTTTAATAAAATTCTTAGCGAAATTCAATTATTTTTAAAAGTATAATAAATTTTTTCTTGGAAATACAATTATTTTAAAGAATTCTAATAAAATTGTTCGCAAGAATTCAATTATTTTCAGAAATAATAAAATGATTTTTAGGAATTCAATTATTTAAAAAAAATTAATAAAATACCACACAGACGTTTAATTATTGTCAAAAATTTTAATAGAATTCTTTGTAAAATTTAATTATTTTTAAAAACTTATCGCAATTCAATGATTTTCAATATCTACTATTTTCATAAATCATAAGTTTTCCAAAACAGAATTCAATTATTTAAAAAATTGTTTGTAAAAAACCTTCGTAAGAATTTAATTCTTTTCATGAATAATAATAATTTCTTAGCAATTCAATTATTTAAATTAGAATTTGCATAAAATTAGTCGAAAGAAATCAAATATTTAAAAATTCTTATAAATTTTTTGTCCAGAATTAAATTATTTTTATAAATATTTAAATTCTTTGATGAACAATAAAATTCGTTGCAGAAATTCAATTTATTATCAGGATAAGAAAGAAGTAAATATTTTCAATGAAAATTAGGAGAAGGTCACGAAAATAAAATATAGAATTGCATTTTTGTCAGTTTTGTCATTTTGTGAAGTATCTAAAACGAGTGTTTTTGGCCCTCAATTTTTATTTTTCGATAGCTACGTTTTTTACTACTTTTTTTAGTTTGAAAGCTACTTTTTGCTACTTTTTGAAAATTAATTATCGAGTGCGAAGTCTGTACTTTTCTCAACTCCTCTGAACAGAGTGGCGAAAGTAAATGTTGGTGTAGTGAAAATCAACTATTGTTAAATGTTTCAGGTGAATAAAATGCAATGGTGGGCTAATATTGTAACATCTGATCCTGAAATTAGTACAAAAAAAGTTTGTCCTGAACCTAGCAAATTGTCAGATCTTGATGGCGAAACAAGAGGTCTTGTCGAGAAAATGATGTACGATCAAAGACAAAAGGAACTTGGTCTGCCTACTTCTGACGAACAAAAGAAACAGGACGTCATAAAGAAGTATGTAACATACTCAACTTTTTAATAATTCTACCTTAAATACCCCCCCCCCCCCGATGAAGGTTTGAATTTAAATTATCTCATTAACAAATTTTCGTTTTATTTGTTTCATTCTAAAAAAGTCACTCTTATTTTCACACAAGTATTATTTTACATAAAATTACATTACATAAATTATTAAATTTAAATTTAATTAATTAATTTTAAATACCTAATTTAACCAATTTTTTATTAAGAAAATTAATTTTAAAATTAATTTATTTCTAAAAATTAGAACTGCAATTCTTTCAATTTTTTAAATATTTTCTAAAATTTTAACTGAAATTCTTTTACAATTCAATTCTTATGAAAAAGTTGTACAAGTCTTCAATTATTTAAATACAAAAATAAGTGATAAAATAATTGATTTTTTATCAAAATTTCAACTTTTAACTCTAATTATGTTTTTGTTTTTAATTTGAGAAAGAAAATTTAATAATTATGAAAAGCGGTGAAACTAAAAATAAACTTTTTTTTTATATTTCAAAATACTAGAGTTTTTTGAAAATCGCTCAAATTTGAAATGAATAATTTAAATAAACCCTCAAACAAAATTACTTATAGTTATCATATAGTATAATTGTTTAATTCAATTTAAAATTTTCAGATTTATGGAGCAACATCCGGAGATGGATTTTTCTAAGTGCAAATTCAACTAAAACTTGTTCACAAATTCACTGTTTAACTGTGCTTTCATTTTTTCGGCACCATTAATAGTTAAGAATTTAGAATAACACATTATCACTGTTACATATTTTTTTTACTGAAATTTTTACATTTTCATATAGTTAGGACAAACTTCATTATTTAAAATAATGTGTAATTTAACAAAAAATTCTTTCATATTTTAATTGTTTCACACAAACAGAATATTTCAAATACCTTTTGTTTAAACAATAAAGAAAACTTTTATTTACTTAAAATTTTATTAATGTATTTTCTATGCATAGAGATTTATTTGTATAGGGGAGAGTAGGCTACATTGAACCAGCGTCAACAGTGAACCACTTCAATTTTCTGAGAAATGACTGAGTGAAATTTTTTCTTATTTAATATATAAGTTAGTTTTACTGAAACAAACTATGTCCAAAAATTTCGGGCACGTAGGTTTATTATTTACAAAGAAAAACTAAAAAAACTGTTTTTCACGTACAAAACAAAAAATTTGGTGGAATTAGAATGACGTTTTTTTATTGAAATAGGAAGTTTTAAAAATTAGTAAACTTGCGATTTATTTTGCTTAGGGTGTCAACTTCAATATTCCGATGTGATAAAGAACTTTAAATCTTACACAAATTTATTATAAACAATTTTTGTTGTGAATGTCATGTGAATACAGTGAGTGCGGTATCATTGAACCACCCGAAAAAGCAAAGAATTTTCAATTTTAAGAGTTGTAAAATTGTCTGCTCTACTAATTAGTAAGAAAAATACTGGAAGACATGCTTTCATCACAATTGTGAACGAGATAAACTCAAACTGTCACTTTACCTACCTAACCTGACATTAAAATACATTAATCTCCTATATTAACAAGTAATAACAATTAAATAACAATTTTCTATTTTTTTGAGTGGAAAATAAGATTTTTTACAATGTGTAAGTGGAAATATTATTTTTGAAGTAAATTGTAGTGTTTTATTAGAGGTGGTTCAATGTAGACACACATCCTTCAAAATAAGAAAAGTGTGACTTGTTAGAAAAAAATTAAATTTAATTATTTAATCATAATAATTTCTGTTTGTAACGTTTGTATTAACTAAAGGAGTACTTCAGCTTAATTTTGATACAAAAACCTGATCGAAATTAGTAAAATTTTATTAGTTCTTGGACTTTATAAAATACCCGGTTCAATGTAGCCAACCCTCCCCTATACCAACAGGGAGTTCGATTTGTATTAAAATGTTGTTCATTTTTCCCCTAGGGTAAAAAAACGCAGGAAACTCGCTTCAATTTTACTTTTAAAATTTTAAAACTTTTTTCATTTAAAAAGATATACTTTAAGAAATAAAAATAAGAAATTTCAGAAAATTACGAAATTTTTCCAAGTGCACACTTTGCACTCGATAATTAATTTTCAAAAAGTAGCGAAAAGTAGCTTTCAAACTAAAAAAAGTAGTAAAAAATTAGCTTTCGAAAAATAAAACTTGATGACCAAAAAACTCTTTTTAGAAACTTCACGAAACTAACAAAATTTCCATTCTATATTTTATTTTCGTGACTTTTTCCTAATTTTCATCAAATATAAAAAACAATTTAATTCTTGCGAAGAATTTTATAAAAATTTTTTAATAATTGATTTCTTTTGATTAATTTTATGCAAATTCTAATTTAAATGTTTGAATTCCTGGGAAATTTTTATTATTCATGAAAAGAATTGAATTCTTACGAAGATTTTTACAAAAAAATTTTTAAATAACTGAATTCTGTTTGGAAATTTTTATGAAAATAATAGATATTTAAAATCATTGAATTGCAAAAAGTTTTTAAAAATAATTCAATTTTACAAAGAATTCTATTAAATTTTATGAGAATAATTGAATGTCTGTGTGGCATTTTATTATTTATGAAACTAATTGAATTCTTGCGAACGATTTTATTAGAATTTTTTAAAATAATTGAATTCTTGTGATGAATATTGTTATTTATGAAAATAATTGAATGTTGCAAAGAACTTTATTAAAATTCCTCAAAATAATTGAATTTTCGGAAATAATTTTGTTATTTATCGACATAATTGAATTCTTTCGATGAATTTCATAAAAATTTTTAAATAATTAATTTTTTTCGACTAATTTTATGTAAATTCTAATTTATAATTGAATTGCTGAGAAATTTTTATCATTCATGAAAAAAATTGAATACTTACGAAGATTTTTCCAAAAAAATTGTTAAGTACTTAAATTCTGTTTGGAAATTTTATGAAAATAGTAGATATTGAAAATCATTGAATTGCGAAAAGTTTTTAAAAATAATTCAATTTTTCAAAAAATTCTATTAAAATTTTTGACAACCACACAATTGAATGTCTGTGTGGCATTTTATTACATTTTTTTGGAAAATAATTGAATTCCTAAAAAGCATTTTAATATTTATGAATATAATTGATTTTTGCGAACAATTTTATTAGAATTTTTTAAAATAATTGAATTTTGCAAAGAATTTTATTCAAGTGTCTCAAAGTAATTGAATTTTCGGGAATTATTTTGTTATTTATCGACATAATTGAATTCTTGGAAAGAATTTTTATTAAAATCTAAAAGAATAATTGAATTATTTCAAAAAATTTAATTAAAATTGCATTTAAAAAAATTGATTTCTTTCTAACAATTTTATTAAAGTTTTTTAAAATAATTGAATTCTTGCAAATAATTTTAAAAAAACATTTTTTTTTAAATAATTGATTTTTTCGAGGAATTGAGATAAAATTTTTGAGAATAATTACTTTTTTTAGCAATTCCTGTAGAATTGTATTAAAAATAATTGAAATCCTGAGATGAATTTTATTATTTATAAAAATAATTGAATAGTTGCAAAGAATTTGATCAAAAATGTTATTATTAGTGAAAGTAATTGAATTCCTGTGGAAATTTTATTATTTATGAAAATAATTGACTTTTGGATGAAAATTAAAATTTTGAAAAATAATTGAATATTAGAAGCGTTATAATAGGAATTTTAAGAAATAATTAAATTTTAAATTTAATTCGAAGAATTATTTACATAAATAATTGAATTCTTGGAAGAATGTTATTAGACACTAAAAGAATTAATAAAATAATAGATTTCTTTCTAACAATTTTATGAAAATATTTGAAAATAATTGAATTTCAGTGAAAAATTCTAATATTTTTGTAAATAATTAAATTCTTCCAAAAAAATTTTAAAAAAACATTTTTTTAAATAATTAATTTTTTCGATGAGTTGAAAAATCAAGTTTAAAAAATTAAAATGCTTAAAAAGAATAGAATTTCTGTGAAAAATTTTGTTATTTTTGAAAATAGTTTTGAATTCTTCATAAGAATTTTATAAACATTGTTTTAAATAATTCTTTTTTCAAAATATAATAAATATGAAAATTTTATTTTAAATAATTGTATTTTTCGATTAATTAATTTAAAATAGTATTAAAAATAATTGAAATTCTTCGATGAGTTTAATTATTTATGAAATTAACTTTTTGATAGTTGATGATTTTAGAAAAATATATATTAATAATAAAGCAACAATTTTTAAGTGCAAGATTAAGAAATATTAGGATTTAATTTATTAAAACACTTATTACAATTGTATCACTTTAGTGAGTTACCATTTATTATCAAAAAATATCAATACAGTAGAAGGAAGTTTTTTCGACTTACTAATACGTCTCGTAACTCATATATGGATTAGGAATTAATACAGGTAAAAATATACGCATATAACTGACCATAAAAAATCTATTTTTTGAATTAAAAAATAATATAACTTTTTATGGATTTATTATAAACAAACTTTTGTCGCATTCTAAAAAAAACTTAATTTCTAATAACAAATAGTAATATAAAATTTTTATTAAATCTCATTTAATGTGCAAAATACGGTTATTTAAAACCAAGCAGAAAGTATTTGACCTTCTGCCTCAAGTATTATAGACTTGGATTTCAATATATTAAATTAGTTTAACTTTTAAAAATATATTATTTACTCTTCATTAATTTCATATTGTCAAATAGAATATATCAACTGACATATATTGTAGTAAAAAAAGTATTTTATCATAATAAGAGCACTCTGATAAGTCGGGTGCATATTTAAATATCAGATCTGACATCAACTGTTTTTTTTCTCTGCGATTGACAAGAATTTCTTGCCATACAGAGTCATCAAAAAAGTTAAATAAGCCATAATATCCATAATGAAGAATTGAACTTAATTGTCTTCATTGATAAAATTAATATAGATTTTCTTTTATAAGTTTTATCTTACAAAACTATATAGCAAATAAATGAAACTAAAAAAATTATTCAATTTAGAAATAATAACAATCTCAGTCCCTGATTTCCGGAAGGAAAAATTTCGTTTTTCATTACGCGTCGAGAGATATTCCAGCAAGAGCTGCAGCTTTGCAGAAAACAATCTGTATGTCCATGGATGGAAAATTCTGAAAGAATTCTATGTGTTTTATTTATACTTTTAATAACTTTTATATTATTTTAAATTTTAAATTAAAAATTTTTTTTTTAAATTTTTTTATTATTTCAACTATGAAAAAAAATTTCAAATTTGATATTATTTATTATTATTATTATTATTATTATTATTATTAATGTTTGAAATTAATTACCTGAAGGAGTTTGACATTTGCTGCAAAATCACTGACAAGTAATTGATCTCTTAGTAATCTGTAATTTTAAAAGTAAATTTAAAAAATCTATCATAACTATTATCATAGCTACGGATTTTCGAATTCAGAAAGAATATTTTAAGTTTAAAAACATTTACATTATCATTGCGCAACAAATGTGAATGAGAAAATCAAATCGTTGTTCGTCAGCAAATAAGGAATCCCATATTCTCATGACATCAGGTAATGGAAATTCTTGTGATAAAAGTAATGTGAGCCATCTGAAAAAATTTTAATTATTCACTGTTAGCATCTTGAGAAGCTACAAATTATATTTTTTTTTTTGCTAATTTCAGACCCCTGAATTTTTTTTATGTGTGTTATACATTGAAAATTTTTGGCTAATAAATGGTCTTAACATTTTTTTAATTCATTTAAATACTAAAAGCCTAATACTTATTGTAGTTTTTAATATTCAGAGTGGATTAAAAAAATGTTAAGACCATTAATGATAAATTTTATATGGATAGCTTTTGATATGAAGAATTAATATTCTTCACTAGAATTAAATCATTTTTAAAAGTTAATAAATTTCTTCTTGGAAATTCAATTTAAAACAATGTTTATTAAACTCGTATAAAGAATTCAATTATTTAAAAAAAACAAAATTTTTCACAGGAATTCAATTCTTTTTAAAAATTTTAATAAAATTTTTCTCAAAAATTCAATTATTTTCATAAATAATAAAAATCTTCTCATGAATTGAATTATTTTTGAAAATTTTATAAAATTTTTAGAATTAAATTATTTAAAATACAATTTTCGAGGAAATTTTTCGAAAGAAATCAATTGTTTAAAATATTTTCAAAAAATTGTTTTAAAGATATTAATTATTTTTAAAAATTTTGATAACATTTGTTGATAAGAAATAAATTATTTTCACAAAATTAATCAAATTCATCGTAAGAATAAAATTATTTTTTATCCAATTTTAATTAGATCATTCAAAATAATTGAATTATTCGTTTAAATTCTTATAAAATGATTCAAAAAAATTCAATTATTTTCCAAAATTTTTTTAAAATCCTTCGCAAGAAAGCAATTATTTTAAAAGAATAATAAAAATTTTCACGGGGATTAAATTATTTTAAAAAATTCAATAAATTTCGTCTGAAGAATTCAATTATTTTTATATAAAACTCATCAAAGGATTTTGATTACTTTTAATAAAATTTTAAATGAATTCCTGGAAAAATATAATTATTTTCTAAACTTTTTTTGAAATTCTTCAAAACAAATAAATTATTTTCAAAAGTTTTTAGAAAATCTTTATCAAGAATTCAATTATTTTTACAAATTATGAAATTCTTCGCTGAAATTAAAATATTTTCAATATCTGCTATTTTCATAAAATTTTTCAAAAGAATTCAATTATTAAAAAAAAAATTCTTTTCAAAAATTCAATTAATTGAATAATAAAATTTTTATATGAATTAAATTATTTTTAATAAAATTTTGAATCAATTTCTCGAAGAATATATAAATATTTTCATAAGTTTTATTAAAATTCTTCGAAATTATTTAAAATTTTAATTTCTGTGGAAAAATAAATAAGAATAAGTTTTTAAATTTTTGTGGAACAAAAAGTATTGAAGTTTTAAAAAATTTAATTTAGAAATTCCGAAAATATTTGTTACTTTACAAAACATAATGAATTTTTTTTTTTAAATAATTGTATTTTGGAAAATAATTTTAAAAAATTGAAACAAACTGAAAATTTTGGCAAATTTCATTAAAATAAATGTTATGTCTTAATGAATTTTATTTGTTTACTTTAAAAAATTATTTTGAAATATAATCGTATTTTTGAAGAATTCTACTTGAAAATTTGGAAAATAATTGAATTAAAGTTATTGCCAGGATTGTTCCAGTGGTACTCGAAGTTCAATTATTATTTAATAAAAAATATCTTACGTATTCAAGTTGTAGCTAGAAATATCTTGGCGACTTTTTTCGACAGTTGTTCAAATAATTCATTTTTTTTAATTTAAAGAAAAACTGTTAGGAAAATTCTATTTTTTTAAAAATGAAGAATTTTCGATAAATTTTAAAAAGAAAATCTTTTAAGGTAACAATGGCAATGAAAATTTAATGCTCGCGTTTAGTTACGCTAGTTTCAAACCACTGAAAAGTTGTGATCCCTGCAAAAGGTATAAAAATTTTATACACTACCTAAAACTATAATATTGAGGACAAAGTTCCTGTTGATTTAATCGCTGCCAAACTTCGCGATCATTATCTTTCACATGTTGAGTTAATTTAATCATCATTGAATTAATTCCAAATTCAGCTTCATCTAAAGTCTTTATAAAGAAGTCCCTTATCTCTGCCATTAAATTTGTAAAACAGAAGAACGTATCTGCTTCCGCATATTCTATAAATAAAATACAAAAAAAGGAAGATAGAAACAGTATTTAATCTATATACTAGAAATCAAGTGAAAGCGAATAATATAAAATAAAAATAACTTACCTTTCCAACTAATACAAGGATCACAGGCAAATGCATGATAGATAGGACCTAAAATTTCATTCATTCCTTGAACATAGCCTTGGCCAGGATTTAATTTTGCGTATAAAAATAGAATTCTCTCCAAAACTTCCCAATGAGCCTCGCTTCCTTCTTGTAGAGGTGCGTAATCTTCTATCGCCTTTCTTACAGACACTGCAATCTAGAAATTTTAAGATTATATGCCACAATCAAAAATAAAATTCGAATTTCTAATTGTATTTTTATTAAATTTGGGTGAATTTCAAATAACTCATTTTTTTAAGCCAGATTTTGATCCGATAAATAAATAAACCAAATTAAGTTTTTTTTAATCTTATAAAGGGTTATGTATAAGAAAATATTAAAGAGCTTGGAAAGAATTTAAAAAGCCCTAGGAACTTGATTTTCTTAAATAAATAAATAAATAAATAAATAAAACTGACTGTTTACATTTACTCCGAGATTTAAAAATTTTACTAAAATTTAAGGGAAATGTAAACACTACTCCAGTTAAAAAATAGTCAAGAAAAACGATATCTCAAGTATACGTAGTACATTACAGACTTCACACTCGATAATTAATTTCAAAAAAGTAGCAAAAAGTAGCTTTCAAACTAAAAAAAATAGTAAAAAACGTAGCTATCGAAAAATTAAATTTGACGAAAAAAAACACGTTTTAGACACTTTACAAAACTGACAAAAATTTCATTCTATATTTTATTTTCCTGACTTTTTCCTAATTTTCATCAAAAATATTTACTTCTCTCTTATCCTGATAATAAATTGAATTCCTGCAACGAATTTTATTATTCATGAAAGAATTTAAATATTTATAAAAATAATTTAATTCTTGCGAAGAATTTTATAGGGGAGAGTCTCCAGTTGTGAGACACCTCCAGTTGTGAGACAGTCAATTTTTTTTAACATGCAATATTAAAAAGCCGATTGGTTTATATAAAAACATTTCTTTTTATATGAGCCAACTTTTTCGTTTACGCCGAAGCGGATATACAAACTGTTTTTGTTAAATACCAACACTGTGTGAGATAATCGACTAAAAAGCGTTTTTTCAAAAAATGCAAAGTACTTTTTTTCCAAGTTAATTAATTGGAAAAGGTAAATGTAATGCATTTTCTTTTAGTGTTTTCCTTATATTTTGTGATGCAATATTGCATTGTGCCAATCTACGGTTGAAAATAATTTAATTTTCCTTTTTCAAAATAGCGCCAATTTCTGGGTGTGAGACACAGCATATCACCAGTTGTGAGACGGTGTCAACACCCATCTGGGCAGCATAAAAAATACGACTTTGCAGGCATACTATTTAAATGTTGTTTTGATTTTTTTTTCTAGTATTTTTGGGCATGTCAAGTGGAAAAAAGGCAATTGATTCAGAAGAAATCAATTTGAATGCTCTTGTTGAAGCTATTAAATTGTGTTTATTTGATAGTCATATTTTGGCGAATAAATATTATTATTTAGTATATAATAATATATATTATTAATATATTTAATTATTTCTACTACACATAACGTTTTATGTCAAACTTATTCAATTTTAGCAATTTTTAATGAGTGTCTCACAACTGGAGACATTTTTTTTTTTTGAAAAAAGCGATGTGCTCGGAAAATGTATCGTAAAATTTTTTGAGTTCATCGAAACACTATACTTTCTTTTAATAAAAGTTGCGTATTTCTGTTACCTTACGAACGGTTTACTTTATTTACAATTTCGTTTACCCGTTTACAATTTACGGGTCAAAAATAAAACCCGTCTCACAACTGGAGACTCTCCCCTACAAATTTTTAAATAATTGATTTCTTTCGACTAATTTTATGCAAATTCTAATTTAAATAATTAAATTTCTGAGAAATTTTTTTTATTCGTGAAAAGAATTGAATTCTTACGAAGATTTTTACAAAATTTTTATTAAATAATTGAATTCTGTTTAGAAATTTTATGAAAATAGTAGATATTGAAAACCATTTCGTAACGAAAAGTTTTTAAAAATAATTAAATTTTACAAAGAATTAGATTAAAATTTTTGACAATAATTGAATATCTGTGTCGTATTTTATTACATTTTTTTTTTTAAATAATTGAATTCCTAAAAAGCGATTTATTATTTATGAAAATAATTGAATTCTTGAGAACGATTTTATTAGAATTTTTTAAAATAGTTGAATTTCCCCAAAAAAATATATTGTTTTAAAAATAATTGAATTCTTTTTACAAATATTGTTATTTATGAAAATAATTGAATTTTGCAAAAAATACTTATAATTAAAATGCCTCAAAATGATTAAGTTTTCGGGTAATAATTCTCTTATTTATCGACATAATTGAATTATTTCAAAAAAATTTAATTAAAATTGTGATTAAAATAATTTCTTTATTTCTAACAATTTTATTAAAATATTTTAAAATAATTAAATTCCTGTGAAAAATTCCGATATTTATGTAAATAATTAAATTCTTTCAAAGAATTTTAAAAACCCACTTTTTTTTAAATAAATGATTTTTTTCGAAGAATTGAAATTAAATTTTAAAGAATAATTACATTGTTTGAGAAATTCCTGTAAAATTGTATTAAAATAATTGAAATCCTGCGATAAATTTAATTATTTATGAAAATAATTAAATAGTTGTTAAGAATTTTTTTATTAAAATTTTCAAATATAATTGAATTCCTGAGAAGAATTATATTATTTATAAAATGTTTAAAAAAAATTAAATTTCTTTATTTAATTTATTTTAAAATAATTGAATAGTTGAAAAGAATTTTATTAAAATTTTTAAAAATAATTGAATTACTGAGAAGTTTATTAATTTAATTAATGCGAAAAATGTTATTAAAATGTTTAAAAAGAAATAAATTTTTGTGAAAATTTTGTTATTTATAAAAATAATTAAATTATTGAGAAAAATTTTTTATTAAAATGTTTAAAAAGAATTGAATTTCTGTTAAAAATTATTTTATTTTTGAAAATAATAATTGAATTCTTTTATAAGAATTTTATAAACATTGTTTTAACTAGTTGATTTTTTCGAAATATAATAAATATTATGAAAATTTTATTTTAAATAATTGAATTCTTGTGGAAAACTTTATTTGTGAAAATGTGAAAATGATGGAATTTTTCGACTAATTAATTTAAAATAGTATTAAAAATAGTTGAAATTCTTCGATAATTGAATTCTTGTTTAGATTTTTAAAACATTTTATTATTTATCGAAATAATTGAATTCTTGCGAACGATTTGATTAGAATTATTTTAAATTATTGAATTTTGCAAAGAATTTTATTAAAATGTCCCAAAATGATTGAATTTTCGAAAATAATTTTGTTATTTATCTTTAATAATTGAATTCTTTCCAATAATTATTTATGTAAATAATTGAATTCCTGGGAAGAATGTGATTAAAATCTAAAAGAATAATTGAATTATTTCAAAAAAATTAATTTAAAATTGTATATAAAATAATTTATTTCTTTCGATCAATTGTATTAAAATATATTGGAAAATAATGGAATTCCTGTGAAAATTCTAATATTTACGTAAATAATTGAATTATTCAAAAGAATTTCAAAAAAACAATTTTTTAAATAATAGGTTTTTTCGAGGAATTGACATTAAATTTTTAAAAATAATTACATTTTTCGAACAATTCCTCAAAAATTGTATTAAAAGTAATTGAAATCTTGTGATGAATTTTATTATTTATCAAAATAATAATTGAATAGTTGCTAAGAATTTTATTAACATTTTCAAAAATAATTTAATTCCTGAGAAGAATTTTATTGTTTATGAAAATAATTGAATTTTTGATAACTTTTATCAATGTTTTTGAAATAATTGAATCGTTTTAAAGAATTTGATTATCATTTTTGAGAATAGTTTTTTGTTTTCTAGTATTAGCGAATTTAAAGTAGTGGAAATTCTCTAAAAAACAGAAATAGATGAGCGCGAAGCCTGAGATTAATTTTAATAATAATTAGATTATAAACTGAATATTATTTAAATATCTTCAAGTACAGACTGCCTTCAAATAGTTTTTAAGATAAAATGAGCACAAAAATTTTTTCTAATAATTATTTAACAAAGGATACATTTAAAATCACGCAGTTATTTAAAAATCACCCTGTTTATATTTTTTGAACGCATCGAAAATTGTTTTGTATAATTATTTAAGAAGTAAACTAAGTTATAAAAATTATTACCTGCTGTTCCTCGGAAGAAGAAAATAAAATAACGTTAGTCAGTATTAGTTAATATGCAAAATTTGTAATTTAATTAAAAAACACATATTCTTCTAATGATCTATGATATTCAATGAATTGTAATTAACTGAAAGTATGAAGATTATTGAAAGAGAATTATTTATCAGATACTTTGAAGTAAAATTAAATTTTGGAATGAAAAACGGACTGTAGTCAATAATAGGATAGTAAATAGCTACCTTAGTTACACCAAGTCCTTTTCTTTCAACGTTTGCACTGCGTAAAACAGTGTGTTGAACTCGTCGATGAAGACGTTTTTGTCCATTGCCAGTCACAATTACCTTGCAAGGAAAATCTGTACCTTGTTGAAAAAATGATATGTCTGGGCACAGCCTCCTGTAAATAAATTCTTGTTTTAAAAATGATTTGCCTGTTTCAAAAAAAATTCAAAAATATACCAAAAGTTATAAAAATCCGACTAAAAAAGTGTTTTAATTTTTAAATAGATACATTAAATTATTAATGAAGTTATAATTATATAACAATAATCGAGATAATCTGTCCTTATGTAAAGTCAGTGTTTTTTGATTGCAAATTATTTTATAGTTCGAATTGTTACGTAACAATATTGCAGAAAAATAAGTACCTGACATCTTTGTCTATTTGAAGTAAAATTTCATTGTCCTTAAAGTACGTTTGCCATTGACTGTCTGGATTTAAATTTAAGGGATGGTCACATAATGTAACGTCAACTCTATCTCCATCGGCATTTGATTCTCCTGGCGTAACAATAAGATCCTCTGTAAAAACAAATTGCTGAATTAATATTTAAAAAAATGAAACAAAATAATACTAAAGTTATTAAGTTTCTGAAAATTTTCATCACTCTCATTTTACCTATAAACGTGCGGTATAATTCCCTTTTTCGTGTCAAAGTCTCTGACCAACTAGCTCTTGTAATGGGAAGATAATTTAGTAACAATTTCCAACATAAAGACCGCAAACCACCTTCATCTGGTATTCCTGTTAGGGTGAAAGTCAAAATGAAATTTGAATACAAAATACATTCTTATTAACACTCGTTTATTAGCGATAGTGAAGATAGTGGGAAAAATCGAGGAAATATCAAGGAATTTTACAAAAATACTGGAAAAATTTACCAAATTTTTACAATTGCGGTGAAAATTCTAGTTTTTGGTGTTAAATAACATTTAAAAATCTTAAAAACTAATAATTCTTATCAAATTATTTTCTTTTCATCTTAATAGATATTAAATTACTATGACTTTTAAAAGAAAACTTTCTGAAAATTGCAACAATATTTTTAACTAAAATATTTTCTAAGTTAATTCATAATACAATCGAAGTAAATTAAAGTTAATTAATAAATTAAAAAAGTTATTTTAGAATTTAATTATTTGAAACAAATTAAGTTGTTTAGAGGAATAAGAAAAAATCAAGGTATCATTTTCCAATTCATTTTGTTATAAAAATTTTTAGGTGAAAACAAAATTCAAAGAGAATTCAAAGTTTTTAAAGTTTTCAAGGCTTTTTACCACCAAAAATCAAAATTTTCTTTCTCAAATTAAAAAAAATTCATAAGTAGGTAGAGTTACAGTTGCAATTTTTACAAATAATCAATTATTTTATAAGTTATTTTTGTATTTAAATAATTGAATTCTTGAAGAACATTTTAATAAGAATTGATTTAAAAAAGAATTCTAGTTAAAATTATAGAAAATAATTGAAGAATTTCGCAGAATTTCTGTTCTAATTTTTATTTTTTTATTTTAATCATAAACGGGTTTAAATAAATAAGCCCTTTCGTACAGAAGTACTTAATGTAATTAGCACACAGTGCATACAGTAAACCAATTATTTAAATTATAATGCTAGGTTTGTTTATAACATTCAATTAATTATCAAATAGTATTTGTCGCAGATTGGAATTTTTAGAAATAATTAAATTTCAAAAGGTTTTACATTGAAAGTAGGTATTTTGAAATTTCAATTCCTGATGGACAAATAAATAACAATAATAAGTATTCAAATATTTATTAAACAAAAATTAATGAAATTTCAAGAATTTTATTTAGAAATTTTGAAAAAATGATGTTTTTAAAAATCGTAATTAAAGTTTTTCTTCGAAAATAGTTGAATTCGTGAAAATAATTTTTAAAAAATTGAAAAAATAGGAAATTTTCTAAAATTTATTAAAATAAATTTTATATTTCAAAGAATTTTATTTTTTTACTATAAAAATTTATTTTAAAATATTATTGTATTTTTTGAAGAATTAAAACTAAAAATTTTGCAAAATAATTAAATTTTACAAACATTTTTGTATTTAAATAATTCAATTATTATCGTAGTTGAATTTTAATAAAAGTTGATGGAATTTCAGTTCAAATTTTAAAAAATGATTAAAAATCAGAAGATCTATAAACAGGAATTTTAACAAATACTTAAATTTTACAAGGTTTATAAATTGAAATGCTATTAACATTTTAATCGCCACAAAAATTATTTTCCTATATAAATTATTAAACTTTTGAATAATTATATTAAAAAATTCTAAAAAATAATTGACTTTTGGAAAAATTACAGTGATTTTTTTTACATAATATTAGGTAAAAAAGTGGATTTTATTTTTCAAAGGGGATTCAGTTTAAAGAAAGGTTTACTATTTCCAAAGATTATTTTTTTTTAAATTATAAAAATTTACTTGAAAAATAATAAAACTTACTCTGAAAATAAGAATTTTTAAAAACTAATTTTAAAATAATTGAAATAATAATAATTTGGTAAAAACTTTTAAAAATAATTGAAACTTGATAAAATTTTTGAAAATCATTTAAATTTGTTAAAATCTTTGGAAATTAATGGAAATCTGGTAAAATCTTAAAAAAAATAATTAACGTTTGGTAAAATTTTTAGAAAATAATTAAAATTTGGTAAAATCTTTTATAGAAAATTAAAATTAGATTAAATCTTTGAAAATAATTAAAATTTTTTAAAAATAATTGAAATTTGATAAAACTTTTTAAAAATAATTGAAATTTGATAAAATCTTTGAAAATAATTGAAATTTGATAAAATCTTTGAAAAATTATGGAAATATGGTAAAATATTTTTAAAATAATTGAAATTTGATAAATTATTTGAAAAATATCTGAATTTTTGGAATATATAATTTTAAAAAATCAAAATTTTGAAGAAATTTAATTATAAACAAGAACATAATTTCTCTGAAATTTTAATAAGTCTAAACACGAAAATTTTGAAATATTTTAATTAATTTTTTTAAAGATAATTGAATTTAAAAAAAAGTATAATAAAACAATTTAGTGTTTTTTTTTAAAAGTTTTTTAAAAACTTCTAATGTAATTTTTCGAAAATAATTGAATTTGTTAAAAGTATTTTTGCATTTAATTCTTTAAGAAACTAATTAATTTTTGAAGATTTCTAATTAAAAACTTTAACACGATTGTTTTTTCCAAAATTTAAAAAATAATTGTTAAAAATTTAAAAATTATTTTTTGTAGGTATGTATTTGAATTTTCAGAAATATTTATTTAAAAATATTGCAAATAATTGAATTTTGAAAAATTAGAATGCACAAATTCTAAGAATTATTTTTTTCAAAAATATTTTAATATAATTTATTTAGAAGCTAATTTTATTATTAAGTTTCGTTCTCAAAATTTCCACTTGAAGATTTTTCATTAAAATTTTTGAGAATTCAATTATTTTCAAAGTTTGCTATTAAAATTCTTCAGAAGTTGTTTTTCTAACAAACTTGTAATAAAACTACTTGAAAAAAATAAATTATTTTTAATTCAATTTTACAAAATGTTTATTATTCAAAATATTTTTAATCGTATATTTCGAAAATTTAATTAGAAAAATGATAAAGAAAATAATTTTTATAAGATTTGTCTAGTTATTTTTCACAGTATAAAAATGTGGTATTCTGCGTTGCAATATTTGGAAAAAAAAGTCGAAAAAGTCGTAATTTTTGAAAATAAGTCGAAAAAAGTCACATTTTTTAAAAATAGTTGAAAAAATCGAAAAAGTCGTAAAATCCATGGCCTGAGTAATAAATAAATAAACATAACTTTTAAAAATTATTAATAATTTCTCACCATGAAAACATAATTTCTTGAGGTTGGGAATGTCAATCTTGTCAGCATTGAGAATCTCATCATATTTATTTAACCTTCAAAAAATAAAGCGAATGAAACTTTTCTTTTATAATTATTGTTAATTTATAAATAAGAAATAGAAAAATATTATAGTTACCTTTTTTTTAAAATACTCATCCTAGTTGAAAAATTTGTCTCAAAAACATACAATAGCTTAAGTCTTTGTTTTTAGTACATCAGAGAAGACACTTGTGGGCGTTTACTTTTCAGATTAGTCTGCGAGATTTGATTGATCATTCAGTATTTTTAAACAGAAACAACAGTGAGTATTAAATTATAAATGAAAAACTATAAAATAACAAATTCTACATAGAGGAATTTTGTAAACTTTTATTTACTTTCTATCATTATAGACCATATAGACGAATTTATAAAACACAAAATGACATACATGCATAGTAATAAACAGATTAAAAAAACCGGTGTGCTTTATGGTGTGTTTCCATTAGGAACCTAAAGGCCAATTTACGCTTTCTGCTTACATCGACATTTTCGAGTTTGAGATGTGACGTCAGACATCACAGTGGCCAGAAATTAATGATTAGAGTAAGTTCACACGACTTTTGGAAAAACCATTCTTGTCTTTCTCTCTTCTATGACAGAAGCATAAGTTTGTCTCACTCTGCATTTTCTGTTTTTGGAAAAGTAAGAAAATGTAGAATGAAGGCCAACGCACAACTGCTTCGCGAACGTCGTTCGCGAATGTAAAGGCCAACGCAGAATAGATCTGTAACCGGAACCGCAATCGTAAGCGTTACCGTAAGAATGAGTTAAAGAAGGATAGGTATATTGTTTATCCTCCTATAACTCATTCTCAGGCCGCAGTCCCATGGCAGCGTTTTGCGTTGCGTTGTAATGAGAGAGAATGCAGCAAACGTATATTTGCGTCTTTTTTTCTCCCATTACGACGCAACGCAAAACGCTGTCATGGGACTCCACCCTTACGGTTACGTTTACGATTGCGGTTCCGGTTACAGATCTATTCTGCGTTGGCCTTAAAGCATGAGTTAGAAAAGGACACAAATATATCTCTGTCCTTTTCTGACCCAAGCATTGCGTTCGCGAACGACATTCGCGAAGTAGTTGTGCTTAGGCCTTGAGACAAACTTATGCCTCTGCCATAGGAGAGAGAAAGACAAAACGGTTTTTCCAAAAGTCGTGTGAACGTACTCACAGGGTGCGATCCCATGTGAGCAGAATACGTCGACCGAAAGCAGAAAATCATGAGAGTGAAAAGAACAACAATATCTATCTATCTCTTTCGCACTCATGATTTTCTGTTTTCGGTCGACGTATTCTGCTGTAATGGGATTGCACCCTAAGATTTAGGCTGGAGTCCCATGGTAGCGTTTTGCGTTGCGTTTTGTAACTAGGCAATGAGTGCAAATAGAGCAAACCTATATCTGTATCTTTCTCACACTCATGGCCTAGTTACAAAACGCAACGCAAAACGCTGTCATGGGACTCCAGCCTTACGGATTTACATATATTTTGAGATTAGGAAGCCCATATCCCGAAACCGTCTCCCGAAACCGAACCAGTTGTGCTTAGGCCTTTATACGGAAGCGCCTACGCGCCACGAGGCAAAGAGGAAACCTGTTTCTGCTAATGTCGTTTTAGCTTGTGAACACTGTAAAAAAATCTGGTGTAAAATAACACGAAACTTGTAATTTCACACATCAAAATTATAGGTTGTACGTAGTAAATTAATAATAATAATAATAATAAATTTACTACGTACAACCTATAATTTTGATGTGTGAAATTACAAGTTTCGTGTTATTTTACACCAGATTTTTTTACAGTGTGTACCTAAAAAATATTTTATTACATTAAAATTGTCAATTTAAATTAATTTGGTTCATTTTTTGCTTCCTCATGAGGAAGTTGCATTGGTGACGATTTTCAATTTTTCAAAAGAAGGTTATATGGACTCATTTTCATCTAAAACATATGAATATTCAATTATGAGCAAATGTCCAGATGTATGTGTGTGTGTGTATGTCACAAAAATTGTGTACAAATTATCTCAGACAAATTTTGATGGATTGTCCTGAAATTTTGCAGGTTTATTGCAGTCATTAATTCCTAAAATCTGACACAAGGATTTTCGAAAATATCTACAAAAATTTTTTTTATACAATTTTTCTAAAATTCAGAAAAATTTTTTTTTGTATTTTTTGAAATAATTTTTTTATTTGTTAATATTTTCATTAATTTTTTTCAAAATTACATTCCTGACAAGAAAACGAATCGATTGATGTATACAAAGTATATATTTTATCAAAATTTATCAAGAAAAATTTATCAAGAAGGCACAAGCCATCCTAAAAACATTTGTCGCTGCCAAAAACAACGTGTCTCCCTCTCAAGAGTTAAAGGATCTTTGGATGTCAATCGACAAAACGAGAATGCAACAGGAGGAGATCAGACTTGCCAAGATAGAGTTAGCAACTCGTCAAGAAAATGGAGAATCAAATCTCTCTCTCGTATTCCGTCAAGGAATACCGACTATTGTCAAAACCCGTCCTCGTCAACTGGTATCGTCTCTGTCTTCTCAACCGAAAGCGAACACATAGAATCTACTGCCATATACACTTCCCCATGTGTTATCTCTCAACGTAACATCCCTACTTCTCGGCGTGCCCCCTCTATTCAGATCTACTATCAGAACGTCAGGGGCGTTCGTACAAAGATTCACGATCTTCGGAAGGGTATTTCTACGAACGATTACAGTGTTTTTGCATTGACTGAAACTTGGTTAAATTCTAATTTTAATTCAGAAGAACTTGGTTTTCAGAATCATGACATATATCGATTTGATAGGAGTATTGAAACAAGTGACAGTTACAAGCTGAGTCCAGAATGAGAGAGTCTGTGCACCGATGTTCATAGCTATAGGTATACTACAGCATGCTTTAGTATATCTATAGATATGAACATCGGTGCGCACCCTCTCTCATTCTGGACTCAGCTTAAGAGGTGGTGGAGTCTTGTTGGCGATTAAGCGAAGTTTGAAAAGTTCTGTTCTTGTTACTTTATCTGTATCGGTTGAGCATATTTTTGCCAAGTTTAAAATTAATAAGTTGACTTACAGTACCGTCCGAAATTGTCAGTCCACCCATTTTTAAACCCTATATTAAAGAACCAGTAGAACCGGGTAGAATCAGGAGCCTACTTGCTTTAAGTTGGTTATTGTCACGTAAGTTCCAATTTCAAACCAGTAGATAAGTATTTTCAGCTGGTTTGAATTTGGAATGCCAAGTTCAAAATGAACTGGTCTCAGTTTGAACATTACAGTCAACAGGAAATTCCAAATAGGTTACATTGTACAACATGAACTTGTTTCAACTTGGATATCGATTCACAATTGGAAATCCAAGGTGGTAACAATTGAGCAGATATTTTTGAAAAAAAATATTTGTGGAAAAAATAATAAAAGATTCTTATGACCATTAATAACTTTATATTCTTAGCACGCTCCAGACATACAAACATTTTAATTAAACTGGAAGTATTAAATTAAAACTTGTACCCTATGGGAATCGAACCCCGTACCTATGACCTATCTATCTAAACGCTTAACGACCGCGGCTATCGAATCGACGTGAGAAATATTTTTCGACCTGTCTATATAAACTGCAACTTTGGAAAACGTAATAAGTTTATGTAAAATATTATAATTTTTGTAAGTACTTATAAAAATACAAGCAGAAATTAAAATATTTATAGAGATTTGCAAATATATGATATTATGTAAAAAATATTAATTAAATATTTAATACATTTTTGCTCAAATGTCATTTGACCGCTTTGTAATTTTTTGCAAATATTTGCAAAAAATAACATTAAGCGAAATAAAAAACAAAATTCGTAAAAATTAAATTTCCCAAAATGACTGGGCCAGACCAGCTCAGCTGTGTTAAAAAATTTCATTGATTTTCTAAAATGTTAAAACTTTTATGAAAATCTGTAGTTCACAACAAAACAATAAAACACTCTTAACCGTTTTTTGAAATTTGAAATTTTTGTTATTTTTTTGCATTAACAAAATATTACAAAATTTTAAAATAATTAATAACTCAAAAGCCTTTTACCATAAATTAATAAAACTTACACTGATTACACAAAATTGTTCACTCTCTTACAAGAAAATATTAGCATGATTGTAAATTTAAAAATTTCATATTTTTAATAACAATTTTATAAATAATTTGAATTATTTATGTGTTCTACCCCTCCATAATTGCAATGAAACTCATAGGAGGTATAGTCATAGTAGTCTCTTTTTGAAGACCCTAATAAAAAATTTTCAATTTGGAATGTACATAACGTATTTTTTAATAAAAACGCGCGTCCATTCCACAATGGGAAAAATGTGATTGTCGTGGAAAATTTAGTCTAGACGTTACAATTATTATATGTTTTTTATAAATTTTTTTTAAATAAAAGACTGAATTTACCACAACAATCAACTTTTTCCCACTGTGGAGTTGGCGCGCGATTTTAATAAAAAAATTCGTTATGTACATTCCAAATTGAAAATACCAACATTTTTTTTAGGGTTTCAAGAAGAGACTACTAAGTATACTTCCTATGAGTTTCATTGCAACAGGAGCGGTCGAACACATAAATAATTAAAATTGTTTTTAAAAATACGGAATTTTTAAATTTACAATCATGCAAATATTTTCTATTAAAAGAGTGTAAACAATTTTGTGTAAATAGTGTAAGTTTCATTAATTTATTGTAAACGGCTTTTATGAGTTATTAATTTTTTTTAAATTTTGTAATATTTTGTTAATGCAAAAAATAACAAAAATTTTAAATTTCAAAAAAACGGTTAAAAGTGCTTTATTGTTTTGTTGTGAACTACAGATTTTCATAAAATTACAAAATTGCAAATAGCAACAGTAACAAATTCATAAAAATATCAATTCGAGAAATGCAAATTCGCAAAAATAAAATTTGCAAAACAACAATTAGCAGAAATAATGATACACAACAAAGCAGTTTCGCAAAAAATAACAATTAGCAAAAGTATCTAACAATTTGTAAAACTGTCCATTGCGAAGAATGCAAGTTTGCAAAAATAACAGTAAACTAAAATAAATATTTGTAAAATGTAAATTTGCAATAATAATTCTTTGCAAAAATAACAATTGGCGAAAATGACAATTTAAAGAATTCCAATTAGCGATTAATCAAACTCTTTAAATTTGAACTTGAAATTCCAAATAGAATGCATCCCCGATTCAAATTAAACCAAGATGACATTAATCCTTCACTGTGCTATATAAATTTGGAGTTGGAAGTTCCAAACTCAAGCTTGTTGATTTTTAATTTGACAGGACAAGTGAAATGTAGTATTCGAGAATCCAAATTGAACCAAGTAGATACTTGAACTTAATTTTGTATTTGGAAATGCAAGCTGATACTTGTAGTACGTGCGAACTTGGAAATACAAGTAGAAATGATAAGATTGGAAATCCATGTTAAAACAAGTCGAAACAAAAATTGAAGAGGATAATCCAAGATAGAACCATTTCAATTTTATCTTGGATATCCGTTTCAGTTACATAAATAGGATTTCCAAGTTAAAACCAGTAGAATAGCTACACGGAAAAGTTTTTCAATTTGGAAAGCAAGTTGACACCAGTAGATCCATGTTCAATTTCTACTGGTCTCAACTGGTTCTTTAATATAGGGAAGGAATGAAAAAAATTTGTTAACATAAAATTCATGAAAACTAAATTTTTTTTTGGTTTATATTTTAAAAGACGATCAAATTTTGAAGAGAATAAGACCTTACAGAAGTCATTTGGCCAAAATTTGTAGAAGATATTCTTAAAAATCGTCATTTTCAATGTTTCACAAAAATTTGAATAACTTCTAAAATAATGAACGCTTTTTAATAATCTTAGGCTTATTTTAAAGGTCATTTTCTACGGAATAAGAATTACTTATAGGCATTAACCTGTAATTTTTTACTTGGAATAAGCATGACGTCAAAGTTGGGCAAAAAAATTCAAAAAATTTGAAACAATATTATTAAAAGAAAAATAATTTTTGAAATTCAAACATATTTTTTATTAAATTTTCTTGAAGAATCTACACCATATCATGTTTTATATATGTTCTAGAATAGTTTTTAGTACAAAAAATTTATTTCAAATTTTTCCAATTTTTTTGTCCAACTTTGACGTCATGCTTATTTTAAGAAAAAAATTACAGGTTAATGCCTATAAGTAATTCTTATTCTGTAGAAAATGACCTTTAAAATAAGCCTAAGACTATTAAAAAATATAAACCAAAAAAAATTTGAGTTTTCATAAATTTTATGTTAAAAAATTTTTTTCATTCCTTCAAAAATGGGTGGACTGACAATTTTGGCCGGTACTGTATATTGTAGGATGCTTTTATATTCCTCCCAACTCAACATATAATGTTTACTCTGAAGTGTGTAATGTCCTTGAAGAAGTTCACAATGAATTTCCTACTGCAATACTATGTGTGCTCGGGGACTTTAACTTGTCTTTTATAAATTGGAGTTCTATCGACGATCCGAGCATACTCAGTGTATTGAATCATGATTTGTCACCGCAACAATTTTTTATAGCTTCCTTGATTTTTGATACAATAGATTATTTGGGACTTTATCAAGTAAATAATTTTTTGAATTCTAATGGATCTATTTTGGATTTAGTTTTTTGCGATCATGAATTTTTTTCTATCTCTCTGTCACTTGAAACGATTTTACCAATAGATAATTATCATCCGCCATTATTGATAACTTTGCATAATGTAATTAATAGTATTCCTGATAATAACAACATCAATAATTTACATAATTTAAAATATGATTTTAAAAATGCTAATTTAGCTGGTATTGTATCTTCTTTACTTAAATTTGTAACGCACGCCTAACTTTTATAATGCCAATTTTGTATAATTAGTTGCTCACTGTAAAAAAATCTGGTGTAAATTTACTATGTCCGACGTTGGAAAGTTTGGTCACTATGTCCGACGTGGTATTTTTACACGCCGACTGTAATCTACATAACCTGCAAATATTTTTTGGAATAATATTTTCAGTCGTAACTTTTTGTATTTATGAAATATAGCCCAAAACTTTTTGTAATATTATTATTTACTTATGAATTAGCATATACTTTCTATAAATGTACATTATATACACTTTTTTAGAGTTATTTATAAAAACTTGAAAATTTTTCGAAAATCTTAAAGGAATAAGAAAATTACATTCGCCATGTAATTGTACAGATCGTGCGACGTAATATTACGTCAAAGTGTAGAAATACACGCAATGTAAAAATACCACGTCGGACATATTGATCAAATTTTCCTACGTCGGACGTAGTAAATTTACACAAAACTATTAAATTACATAGTCGTATAATGTAAAATTATTAAAAATAGTAAAACTACTTTTGGAACGAAATAAATTTACTACGTACAACCTATAATTTTGATGTGTGAAATTACAAGTTTTGTGTTATTTTACACCAGATTTTTTTACAGTGCTGGTTGTAACTTAGATTTTAATTATAGGGCTTTTTTTTTTTTTTTTTTGCTTAGGGAATTTTGGGAAATCTGCCTACAGATACCTTGGATTCCGCACTCCAAGGTTATGTGGGGTTGGTGTGATAAAACAAAAGGAAATATAAAAAAAAAGAAAAATAAATATATAAAATAGAAAATTTAATAAACTGGCGACCTACTGCCAGCCCGACCCACTAAAACCCGTAACCCTTCTTCTGGAGCCCTTTACCCTCCCTCGGAACTGTCGTAAGACTTTAGCCTTCGAGGGTGGCGCTCCAACTCTGTCGCCAATGCGACTTTCTGCCTTTCTCTGCGGTTATCCTGCGTCTTTAGTTAAAAATTTAAAACTATTTAAATAAATAAAATAAATAATTAAAAATTATTCGCTCCTTTTAATATTCCTTATTTACTTTTAGTCCTCGCGAGAGCCTTCTTCGCCTCCTCAAGGGCAGTCCTGAAGACGCCGCATCCTCCACTTCCTGCAATATGAGTGGTTGACACCTTATTGCCAATCTTTTCCTTGCACAAAAAGCAACTTGAGTTGTTTTTACAGTTGGAGAACCTGTGACCGGCCTCACCGCACTTAAAGCACGCAGCCGATCTGTCCTCCTTCTGGCATTTGGCTCCAATATGGCCGTATCCCAGGCATCGATGACACCGGACGACCATTACTCTTCTTTTGATTGGGCAACACATAAAACCAATTTTTACGTGTCCCAATTTCTCCAGCCTGTTCGCCTCTTCCAGGTTGGTGACTACAACCGCGAGCTTCATCCCTCGGCGGTTGGGTCCTAAGACCGTCACTCTCCTGTTTACTGGCTTACCCATTGCTTCAGACAACACTTGTTGCACCTCAGCTTCTTGGGTAAGGCAATAAAAATCACGGATCTCGAGTGTAACTCTTCGATTCAATGACTGCACCTTACCCATGCTTCCAACCGCCTTGGTGACCTCAGCGGTGAAAGCGTCCTTATCGGAGTCTCCTCTGAACTTAATCAGAAGGTCCCCCTTGTTTGTAGCTTTTGCTGCTACTATTCTCGTATGGCTGTCCTCTGGGTTGACCTCTTTGCGAAGCTTACCCAGAACGTCAGCATACGTCAATCCTTCACCGACTCGGATTAGAACTGTGGATCTTTTTGACCCAATTTTTTCCAATTGAGGAATCTTTGGATCTGGTACTTCCGTTTCCATTGGAGGAGCTTCCTCCTTCTTCCTCTTATCGGTTTTGGTTCGAGTCTCTTCTGGACTGTCACCCTCTCTCTTCCATTTCTGAGCATCTCCTAAGACGCTTTTGAGATTACGCCTATAGAAACGCTCTCTCTCTTTCTTACGGTCCTTGCGGTTGCATTCCGCACCGCCCAGAACGCATGCCAAATCGACGTCCGACTCATCGGCCGCGGCATGCTTTGCCCTTGCCTCCTTTAGCAGGACGTCGATGACCTTGAGTCCATCCTTTACCGTCCTATTGACGGTCTTCTGAATGTCGCAAGATTTTATCATCTTTGCGACCTCCAACTCCATTTTTTCGAGACAAGTCGCCTCCTCCTTTCTGAGCCGCAAGCATATCTCGCGAGTCTCTTCTATCGCCTCGTCGTCTACTTCTGAGTGGATAGCGCTATGAACGGTTTTTCCGCTACTGCAGCTTGACACACTCAGAAGGCTCGACGTGCTTCCTTTCCTTTTTTTTTATTTTCCACGATGTTCTGTGGATCTACCCTTTCCACGATCACTCGTGGCACTGCAAGAAATTGTGCGCCCCCACAATCCGCGCGCAATTGTGCATCGGTCCTGGGACCGATGGTGAGATTTCCCGTTTCCGGCCTGCTCACATGGGGTACCTTCTCAGAATTTTTTGAATTCATTTTTTCTTGCTGTTTGGTTGTCCTTTAGTTGAAAGCCCCGCCACCACGACAAGGTCTACCGAACATATCCATGATGTCAATCATGTCTGGCAGTGGATATGAATCCACTTCTCCCAGCACATCGAAGACATCGATGATGTTCGGCAGTGGACAACCAGCGGCGGAGTTAATTATAGGGCTTGACCCGTATGTAAATAAATAAATAAATAAATTAATAAATTAATAAATATTTTTCTTTTTAAAAAAAAATTCAAATTTTGTATTTTTTTCATAATTTATTTAATATTAATATTTTGAAATGATTATTCTATCATAAAAAAGAAGCAATTGGCAAATGAAAGTGTAAATTTCACCAAATATTTATATAACAACTTATATAAATTATAAATGATTTATATAATTTTATTTTTAACAAATCTTCTGGACGAACCCTTTTGTACATAGTTTTTCAAAAGTTTGCAAAACCGCAATTTTTATACATTGAGGAAGCTAAATGGTCATGAAAACTTGTATTTCTTATTTTAAATTTTTTATTTAGCAACAATCACATCATCGAACCACCGAACCAGCGAACCATCGAACGTGTTCCTATGTTTCACAAGCTAAAACGACATTAGCAGAAACAGGTTTCCTCTCTTTGCCTCGTGGCGCGTAGGCGATTCCGTATAATTAAGGCCTTTCTCCAATAGGTTTTAAAAAGTGTGCGAATGACTGCGTTGCGTTGATTTTAGCATGTGTTGCTATAGCAACCGACGCAGACGCAGTCATTCGCACACTTTTTAAAACCTATTGAAGAAAGGCCTCAAGGCCTTTCTCCAATAGGTTCCCAAAACTCTATGTCTGCGTCGGTTGCTATAGCAACACATGCTAAAATCAACGCAACGCAGTCATTCGCAGACAAACGCAGAGTTTTTGGATCCTATTGGAGAAAGGCCTTTAGGGTACAGCCACACGAACTTATGTATGCATGATGCATGCATGCAGAAACATTTGACTGTTCACACCTCAATTTTCCGCTTTCGAAAAATCATTTTTCTGGCGGGATATTTAAAATTGATTAAAATTTAAAAATAACGTATTACTAATTATTACAATAAAAAATGAAAAAAAATTAAACGTTTATTATAAGGAATTAATTGTAAATAAATTTCTCTTAATTTGTGGCATATTTTAAATACACTGGAGCTTCACTTATTTTCAGTCTCACTTATTTTCAGTTAAAAGGTTCTCCGTGCGTTCTCATTGGTTGATGTTAAAGAATCCACCAATCAAATCAACTCGAATGTTACGTTTCAGAGTGAAAATAAGTGCGACTTTGCCTTTCAGTTTGTTTGGACTTAGTGAAAATAGGTTTTTTTTTTCGCTAGCTACACTTTCTACACTATGTACAAAAGTGTACACTACGGCGTTCTCGTTACCAGAAGTGACGCAATAGTGTACACTAAACATACACATTTGACGCGACAGAAAAAAAGTTGCCATTTTAAAATGCATGTAATGAATTGCGTTTGCATTATAGGCATAAGACAACATGTCTATTGCTAAAAGCTCCACTAATTTCTTTTACTTTTAAAAACTTATTAAAAAAAGATATTTTAAAATTATTATTAAATATTTTATGAACATAAAGGAATGATATATTTCTTTGTGACTTTTAATTTATAAAATTAAATTAATATGCAATTCTTATTTTGGTAATATTTATATAAAATATATATAGTAATAAATATACTAATATTAGCACAAATTTATATATACATATATATATTTAAAAAACCTAACTATATTACAGGTATGCAGTTTACAATCAACATAGAGTCAATCGGCTTTGCACGATGCACAATTTTATCATGTCAGATAGAAAACAAATTAGTCGAAATAGATGTTCCTGAAATCTTTCAACATTACTTAAAATCAGTTACAACAAAACCTGAAATTATAGAAACTGCAAAAGCATCATGCAGCAGAGAAAGCGGTCCATTTCAATGGACAGATGCATCGACAAAGTTGTTTTTAACTTTGTACAAAGAAAAAAAAATTTAGTTTCCCAAAGGAAATTAAAAACTTTAAAACATATGTGGAAATTAATTAGCGAAGAAATGGCCATCCACAATTATCATATTACGGCAACACAAGCCGAAAATAAAATGAAGACGATGGATACAGCGTATAAAAATATGATAAGTAATAATAAAAGAACAGGGAGGGGAAGAGCAACGTGCAACTTCGAGGAGTAAGTGAAAAAGTTTTTCATTGTATTAAAATTTTTTGTATATATGATTAATAAATTGTTTACATTATTTTAGTGATTTAAATGATATCCTGGGGAAGAAACACAATATTGTACCTCTGGTGATTTCCTCTTCCAGCGGTTTGACTGTACGCAAAAATGATAACGAGGAATCAGCAACGTAAGAATACAATTTTTTCATTTCCTTTTTTATTTTTTTATATTTTGGTATTTTCTATTAATTATGTTTCATATTTAAATATAGGCCAACTTCAATATCTCTCCCTTTGATGATTCCTGAGCCCGAGGAGGAAGATTCCCATGAAAGTGAAAAAAAAAGAATAAAAAAAATATCAAAAACTATAAAAAGTGATGAAATTCTTGAAACCGTTCTTCAAGAAATAAAAATAAATCGGAGAAGTCGAGAAGAGTATCAAGAGAGGATGATGGGAGAGTTCCAGAATTTTATGGAAAATACCATAGAACACAGGGAGAAGATGAAGCACATTGCCGAAAAAAGTTAGGAATTCTTGAGGATTTAAAAAAGATCCTTACAGAAAAATTAGATATAATTTAAAAAATTGTTGTAAGTTGGATATATAAATAAAAAGTAAGATTTATTATATTTAAATATTATTTATTTATAGAAAAATGTTCTATATAAATAAAATAATTGTTTACATTCAAATGAGAATTAATTCATTAATTAAAACGTGCATTCAATTTCATTCAAATTATATTTTCAATTCCCTTATTATTATTATTTATTATATTATATTATTATTAATTATTATTATATTATTATTTATTATATATTATTATTTATTTATTATTTTTAAATTTTAATCAATTTTAAATATCCCGTCAGAAAAATGATTTTTCGAAAGCGGAAAATTGAGGTGTGAACAGTCCAATGTTGCTGCATACATATATGCATCATTAGGGTGGTCCAAAAAAGTAAAATCAAAATTTTAATGCTCTCCCGGCTGAAAAACCTTGTACAAAATTTTATACAATATCATACGGAAGATCTTGTATAATGACGTGAACGTTGTCTTGTACATGAACGTTCGAATGGTCGGCACCTGAAAATGGAACAAAGAATAACATGTATATGAATATGTGCATGTTCCCGTGAAAAGTATATCCGACAGGGGATCTTGTACATGTTCGTGAAAGCTACAAGTAGACAGCAATTGTTAATGGGCATATCTCTGGAACCTTTAACTTTCATGTCCCTCGCATATATTTCGATAATTTCAATAACTTTTTACTTTATTTTTGTTGGAAATATTAAAGCTTGATAAGATGAATCAGTTCCAAAAGGTTTTACATTAATTTATTAAATATATCAATAATTATTCCAATCTGAGTGCCCGATTTTTTACAATATCTACTTGTCCCTAACCATACTCTCGGATGGGTTAAACGATAAAACTTTGTAATGAATAAGAGTTACTAATTCTAAGACGCATCTTTTTAAAGTTAATTAAACAGTGAACACTTTTCCGTATGAAAATTAAAAATTTGTTAATTTTGAAAAAAGTTATAAGCTTTCAAACGTTGTCCCTCACTTTTAACCTTTTTGATCGTAATCGAGATATTTATCATTTTTCATTAATAAGACAAATGGCACATCAAAATGACTTACGGGAAATAAAAGTTCAAATTATTAGAATTATTTTGAGACATAGTAAATTGATGTGCCTCGTGTCTTCAAAAAACTGTTGTAATTTAAATAACAGAAAACACGCGCGTACAAAATTTGAAAACGACCGTAATTCGAGTGATACTCCACGAAAATCAAATAAAAGTATTTTAAAAGTACTTGTAAATATTTTCGCATGTGCCATTTAACATCCAGTGAATGTGCTTCAAGAAAAAATACTTTATTGCAAAGATAATGTAAAAATATTTGTCAATTACGGTCGACCGTAATCAACCAAAAGTTTTTAGAAAAGAAATTGTTAAGTATGAAGTTGTCGATTCTCACTTTTTTATAGAAACTGTTAATAAATAAAACTGAAGGTTAAGTTTCAATGTTTATATTTTGATTTTTTAGACAGAATAAATGATCGAAAAAAATAAGATATATAAGAAAAAAGAAAAATAGAAAAAAATGAATAGAAATTGGAAAGTTTATGAGTGTTAAATTTAAATAAAATGTATCTGGAAATTGCAAGGTAAAATTTATACATTATAATTTCATATTTTTACAATTCAGTTTAATTAAAATCTATTTTTAAAATAAAAACCATTTTAATTTTTTAGTAATTCAAACAAAAAATAAAAGAAAAGTAATGTTAATGACTAGTAATAATATAATAAATACAAAAGTAATATATTATATAATAATATAATTATTATATTATAAATTATAACCCCTCAGTTAATTACTTTCAACTGTTTTCGATTCTAAAAAACAAACACCTGTTAAATATTTTTTTGTTGCACGTTAAAAATAATTCGCAATTTTAAATAGTTTATAACTTTTTGAAGACGAATCATTTTATCTGTCCACTTGGATATTTTGAAAGCTTATTTCTTAAAGTTTATGTAGACAGAGTTTCAATACTGTGCTCAATAAAAAATTAACAAATTTTTTCTCATTGAAAAGTTAAAGGTTCTAGAGATATGCCCTAATGTATATGGACATGTATACGATCGTGTACAAATCTGTACGTGTCAGAAAACCACTCATAAGACATTGTACGTGTTCCTGTACGTATCGATGTGTAGTTTCGAAGTTAATTCCTCAACGTAAGATCCCATATGTGTTCACCTATATTTTCTTGTCAGAGAAGTTGTGTGTAGTTCGAGAAAGGTAAAAATCACTATGACAGATCATGCACAGGAATGTGTAGAGGGAGTCTAGAAATAAAATTTTTCAAAGCGAAGAACGTTTACATGTTGATGTACTTGATCACGTGCAAGAATGTGGTTGAGTTTTCCGCAGAGAATTTTCCCAATTCATGTTCTTGAACACAAACTTGTGCATTTTCTCGTATTAGTTCTTTTGTTGCTAATATGCATAGAAGAAAATCATGTACCTGAAAGCGTACATGTTCATACATGTTCATACATATTCACATATTTACATTAAAATAAACAAAATACATTTTTTATGCCGTAAGTGAGGCTAAATTCGCTCAATTTTTCAATTCTTTTTTAAATAACTTCGGGAAACGATGAAAATAAACATTCGCACTGAAAATATATAATCTTTAACCCTTTATCTTTCCTATTACTGCATAAAAAAATTAAAATATGTTGCAGAAAGTTATTTATAAGCCGTTTTTTGTGAGCGACTTTACCTTTAAATGATGGGTAAATTCGCTTACCATTATTATTCTGTCAATAGTATATTGTGCAACAAGTACAGAAAGAAGCTGTTTTCCGACGAGTGCAAAGTTTGCTGTCCCGAGCGAAGCGAGGGCAGCAATTTGCACGAAGTTGGAAAATCTTCTTTCGTACGTGTTGCACACAGTACTTTGTGCAACACCTTTTGGTTTTGATAAAAAAAGCTGTTTGGAAACGCTAGTTGACGTTGTGTAATAATTCATTTGCGTGATTAAGTTCCGAAAGTGTGATCTTATCTTTATTAAGAATATAAATAGCTTCTACTAAATGGAGCCAATGTAAAACAAATTTTTTTTCCAGGTATAAAGAAATTATTGGAATGCTATAGTAGAGAATCCAATTCTCCTACTCTCTAGCTTTCCAAAATTCTTTATCCTTTAAAGTGCGAGCGAAGCAACCAACTTGACTAGGCACTTTAATTTTTGACATAATTAAATTAATTTCATTAATTTCTTGATTGGTAATCATACGAGAACTTACGTTTTTACTACCGAACCATACATTAGCAAATTGTTTACCAATTCCGCTAAAAATATGCATAGGTTCGGTAGTAAAACCCTCAATAATATTGAACTTTTCCAAATTTATTAATGGTGATGCATTCTTAACTCCGAAGCAAGGTTTTGACGGTTGTGCTGCCTTCATGTCAGAAATCATGTTTTCTGCAGTTCTTTTTTCAACTGTAACATTTAGCAACGGATATTTATGACTTCCACCCCTCTCTTTTAATGGAGTTAGCACCCATTTGCCAGGATGAAGGCACCAAGGACAACCGCAGACCCCATTGAACAGGCAAAGGCCTAACATTGGAGCTCTTGCAACGGAGTCTACAGAACTTACAAGTGCATAAACATTTATAGTGAAATACTCGTCATTTATTTTACATTGTACTCCTTCGTTCGACAGTTTATTCATTTTTTGAACAAAAGGTTGCAAAAAAATATTCATGTCCGGTTTATTCCTTCCAAACCACAGGCCAAAAACTATTAATTCTGTTGTTCTAACTTGAAATGGCAATTCGTTGATTTGTAAATAAATCGGCCAAATTGAATATGCCGAGCTTTTAAAAAGAGGTGCACCATCCGTATTAAAAGTTACTGTCAAATACTGATGCCTTTCGCTCTCGTCCAATGATCTTAAAAACATTTGATACATATGGCCATCATAAATATCTTTTAGCACACCTGGTTCATGAGCTCTATTATTCATAATATTACAGTAATAATCGCTATTTGTTTCAACCAATTCATAAATTTTAGAGTTTACATCGAAGTTAACAAAGAAATCATTGTACATGGAGTCGACAGTTATATCAATATTACAAAAATTGCATTTGATAGATCCCGACGATTTTACAAATATTCCGACGTACGCGCCGCATTCTGGGCAAATACCATGAAGTGTACAATTACCGGATGGATTAAATAGGCTATCTATTAAATAACGAGACGTAGGCAAGATGGGCGAAGAGAATAAAGTATTTACCAACGAAAAAAGATTTGTTACACCTGCCTGAGGCAAAGAATAGGTTATTGCGAATTTTAGAAGCATCATTAGAATTTCACCTGTTGTTTTATCTACAGGTTGGTTTACGACATTAGAGAAATCTTCACTATCGATGAATGCATGTAATTTCTTGAAGGGTGTGTTTTTTGCTGATGTATCATCGAAAAAATTGTCCATAAGATCGTCTTGCATCATGTTTATAACAGATTCCATCTCCATCAAATTAATGTCATTAATCTAAAATTGACAAATATTAATTTAATTTCTAGAAAATGACAGAAAAAAATTTCTTTTGATTATGTAAGTCTAATTATTCGTAATTAACAAGTAAAACTTTTAACATAATATTGACAATTCTCTAAAAAATTAAATAAATTCTATAGTATTTATATTATATGTATTAGATAAAATTGTGTCCCACATTTACCAATACTTTTAAAATCTAAGAGTGCCTATAAGTGCGTTTGTTCTTTTTTGAAAATCTTAGTTTAACCACCGAATTATTTCGGGGTTGTTACTATGCATAGTAATAAGTTACTATGCATAGTAATAAGTTAATGATGGCTTATTTTTTTTCAGAAAATGATTCTCTATAACTTTACAGCTCAGATTTATAAACAAATACACCATTTTGAAAATATGCTTATTTGTTTAAAAAAGTGATTTAAGTTAAAAAAGTTTTTTTAAACAAATAGGCATATTTTCAAAAGGGTGTATTTCTTTATAAA